GACGTACGGTAAAATCAGTATCCTCTAAGCGGTAAATTCCAGCTTGGACATGGTGTAATTACCGTGGGGAAAAATCGAACGTATAGCCGTAGATTTAAAACATTTATAATTGTTTTTGAACAATTTTGTCATATTAATAATTAATAACAATATTTATGATAATTTGACAGTATTATTTTATTATAGGTATACCTACATAGTTTGATTAATATAATATCCTACTATGGTGTACGGTTATGTTATTACTTATTGTATTCAAGAGGGACATATTTTATTTATTGTTGTTATTATGATATTTAATTATGACTTACGAAGTTTAGTGGCGGACTAATATAATTATCTGGGTGTAAAGTATGAGATGCAGGAATTGGAAGATATAGGTACAGAACTGTATTTAGAATTCAAAAATGTAGGTACACTGTAGTTATAATACATAAATGGATGTTTTATACATACCTATGTGTTATACAGGGTGATTCTTTTATCAAACAACACTCATTATTTGAAAAAGTATTGACTTTTTTCAAATTTTTTTTTTTTCAAAATTGTAGATTTATGCTGTTCTAGAATTGTATATTTTTTTTATATTTTTCACCCTTATATTTAATAGGTAAACCACTATCAACTTTTGATTTTCAAATGGTAACCTATACTAAAAATTTCATAATTGAATAAAACTATTTTTTTCATTAATTATTACGTTCAAATTTTCATTTTTCGTTAATCCGTTGATGAGATATTGCTCCTCAAAGTTAGGTGGTTTTTGGAGATAGTTATAGTGTGTAAATGTGTTATACCTCGTCAGTAGATACCACAGCTATCAGGATTTTTATGTCCCAGGGCAAAATATATCACACTTTTCAAATCAGTTCATAAAGTACTTAGAGCCCCTAAATGTATTTTATTATGCCCATCTTTTAGGGAGTCATGAAGTTCACCCCACGAAGGTGATTGCGGCACTGGTCAGTGGTCGTAATAATTATTATCAATTATAAAGACCAGAAGTTACAAGTAATAAATTCGATATCGTTCGACCCAAGATATAGCGGTGATAATCTTTGTACCTGACAGCCGATAATACCTACATACAATAACAAACGATCATATTATTATTGGTCTGCTTCTGTTTGTAGCTTCGATCACAATTTAATCTCTATTCTATGCTACGACACACCATAGAGTATAGACTAACATACGGAAATACAGAATTATTTTAGTCCATAAAAGTTAATGTTGTCCATGGTTTATCATTATAACTGTCTATCATACAGAAAATACAGTGTTACCAACATGTGTATTTACAAAATAAATAGTAACAGTAACTTGCTGTTTATTTATGTCACAAATAAAATCCCGTTTTTGTTACTCTAGTAGACTGCCTGTACTACAGTTGCAACAACTGTTAACTGTTTTAAATCGCTGCTGTACTCGCTGTAGTGTACAGTAATTTATTGTCTGTAGTTGTCTGTTACTCGTTACTGACTATTATAATTTATAGCATGGTGCATACTGCATAAATATACAATATATGATATAATAACCATATTTAATAATGGACCATAATGGCAATAAATTAACTTAATAGGTAACTTAATTTTTTTTTTATACATATAATATACATACAGGGTGATTTTTTTATCGTGAACCAGTTAATATCTCGGGAAGTATTAGTAATTTTAAAATAATTTTTTTTTTAAACTTTCTAGGTTTTACTATTTTACACTGTGTTACAATTTTGAAAATTTTAACTTCCTCCCTTATTTGATAAAACACTATCAACTTTCGATTTTCAAATGGCAATACCTATTTTCGATAACAAAAATCTATAAACATACTGAAAAAAAAAAATTTTAACGTTTACAGAATTTAATTTGAGTAAGCCGTTTACGACTTATTAATGCTGAAATATTCGTTAAATTTACTGCTACTGGGCAATTTAACAACCCAACTGTAAAAACCAGAAGTCAAAACGAAATTTTATCTCAATTTAACAATACCCATAACGGTAATAAATAATAATCAATAATAACAAGATAGATAAACAATACTATAAGAAAAAAAAAAGTGTTCCATCATCACTCCCACCAGAATACCGAGTGTCAGTGAACGACTATAGCCAGCCGCGGCCTGCAGCAGCTAGGCTTTATCAGCTATAAAGTATAAAAACAACATTTTAAATTTATCATAATGGTTACATAATATAACACTGGTTACTGATCCCTGGTATACGGTCTTATCACGTATTAGTAGATAAACGATAATAAATTCCGGTATTCGGTAAACTGTTTCTGAAAACATGTGGTTATTGAGTTTCCCATTATCAAATATTAAATATTAATCTTTAATTAATTATTATTCTTTGAACGTTAAACCACAGAATACGCTTTAAGTAAATTCTTAATTATGTGTATTATTTAAAATATAAATTTAAAGTTTAGGTAAGCCAATTATTCCAATGCATACCTATTATATTTTTTGATAGTGTTTTAATGTTGTATTTTGGTTAAAAATTTGTATTTAATTAAAAATATACTTCTATCCAATCAGAAATATTATTATGTATATGGGAATCAGATTTCATACTTAGCCGACAACTTTATTTGTATAATTTATTGGTAAGTTCAATCTAAAATTAATATATTAGAATATTATTTTTTTAGTAAATTATTTATATTTTATACATACATATTATTGACAAATAATATCCAGGGTTAAAATATTTTAATTTTATTTCAGTGGCAATTAGTAGAGTTTACATAATTCATCAAAAAATACAGTGAACTATATGACTAGACAACTAAATTTGCTCAGAAATTAATGCAAATTCATATATATATTCACTGGTACCTATCTGATGACTATAAATTAATATGGAATAAAGGAATACAATATACATACATATTTCTATATTATATTATAATCTTTCAACAAACTAAACAATCAATTATGTAAGTATGAATTGTTTTTTAATAAATAATAACCAGGGTTAAAATATTTTAATTTTATTTCAGTGGTAATTAGTAGAGTTTATATAATTAATCAAAAAATACAGTGAACTATATGACTAGACAGGTCAATTTGACCAGCAATTAATGCAAATTTACATTGCTTGCTACTGGTATCTGATTACTATAAATTAATATGGAATAAAAGAATAAAATATCCGTATTTCTAAACATATTATATTTTAATCTTAAAACAAACTAAACAATTTATTATGTAAGTATGAATTTTTTTGTAAAATAAATAATTTGATGTTTATCATAATTTTTGCTTATTTTTTAGAAAATTAATTTTGTTTTCTTTCAAATTTCAATTGCAATTAGTAGTACTAACTTTTAATTCAAGATTGGATGAACAAATGCAAATTGTTATTTTGGTTAGTCACAGCATAGTACATCTCACCTGATAATTTAATAAGTATGAATAAATAATTTTTTTTTGTAGAATAAATCATTTCTATAAATAATTTAATGTTTTTTTTTTTTTTTAGTTGCATTCGGAAAAAAAAAAACAGCAGCATCAAGACCAACTACTCCTACATTTGTAAAATTTGTTGATGGTCACATTAATAGTTAATTGTATGTTTAAATAATTAGGTTAAGTTATTGATTTACTATTTTCCATAATTAGGGCTATGGAGTTTTTATTATCCTAAATTGGCAAATTGAAAATTTTTTTTATATGATAGTGTCATTTTTATGCAATATTAAAAGATTTTTATATCATACAATTTTAATTAAAAAATAACATAATTTCAAAAATAAGCGTTAAGTTGAATAATTTTTTAAGACATCCATAGCCCTAAAAATATGTTGTAATCTAGAGTAGATAATATAAAGTATGTTCAATGTTCATTTAATTTGTATTAATTTATCTAGGGTAGTGGACATGTTAAGTGTTAATATTTTTTATTAGTTATGACCTTACCCAAATCCTGCAAAAATTTGCACTACGGAAATTTGTTCATACTCTAATAAAATTATTGATAACTAATGTGTTTATTGCCTTTGATAATTTAGTATTAAATTAATGTCCATTATTTGGTCTATTCACACACAAGATAGTTTTGATATAAAATGCAAATTATACATTATACAAAAAATATATCCCAGAATACCTAATATTTATAAATGGAAAGTCGGGTAGGCACTATGAACAACGGAGTCTGGGCCTATAGCCCCGCATCAGATTGCAATACAGGACTCCCTTCCTTGATGCACATTGTAATATCAGTCTGATGTAGGTTATGTGTTGTGTCACTTTATTTGTGTAATCAAAATGACTTACCTATTCTATTTTTTTTTTTTTTAGTATACACAGATTGATTTGTAATTATTAATTTTTAATGAAATGAAAACCTTAAACGATAGGGGCATTGTAAAAATGTATAACTTAAAAAAAAAAAAAAGGAATGTGTGAATAGACCCGTAACTACTTATGAATTATTTTTCTAAATACATAGAAAATGTTGATTTACTTTGTTTTAAAATGAATAAATGTTATCTGTTCAATATAATCATTTACTATAGTAATTAAGATACACCACATTGTTTTAAAAACATATTTATATTGTAATTTACCAGTTATAACTCATTAATCTGATATAGAAATATAAATTATATTAAATAAATACATATGTATTATGTATAATAAACTTAAATAAATTAACAAATTATACAACTTAATATCTTCTTAATATAAAACATAATGCATAATATGTATGAACTATAAAGTATTGGTTTTTCCAAATTGACAACTTTTGATAATTTCTATATATGTATATGTATTATATCACCTTAACACAGAATTGATAGAGTGATGAATATGACATAATTCACATAAAAAAGATAAAGGCATCTATTTCCTAAATTAACAGTTTTATTGGGTTTTCATATTGTGTTGGTTCTCAGTTGAATTAATCCTCTGGATTCCTCAATATTAAATAAATATTTTAATTTGTTGTTAACCACAACAATTGTTTCAACATTAAATCTACAATGTTCTTCTCTATAACTGAGAAAATGGATATGTGGTCATGCTTTATAGAAAGTGGAAAAAATAAAAGGAAAGCCGCTCTATTGTATAGCCAACGATTTGGACTTGAGAGGCAAGTTCCTAGTTCAAGTATTTTTTTAAGATTGGAAAAAAACCTAAAAGCTACTGGAAGTTTCAATAAAAATAAAAATAGGAAATGTACCAAAACTACAGAAGAATATTCACAAATTGTTTTACAAAAATTAGAAGAAAATCCTAATACATCTTTAAGAATAGTATCGAGTAAGTAAACATATATATATATATATATCTTATTGTCTGGTTTTCATATTATAATTGATTAAGTTCAATATTATGTTTGATACTATTTTATTCGATGTGTTTTGTGTTTCTTTCACAAACACATTGATGTTATTCTGGCAAACCATGTCTCATTTTTTTGTGAATCAAACATAAAATTACTGATATTTATTAATTATGTTTTATTATTATTTATTTAGAAGAAGTAGGAATTTCTTATAGTTCAGTACAGAAAATTGCAAAAAAAAATAAATATCATCCATATAAACGAAATACTGTTCAGCATTTAAAATTTGATGATTATGAGCGTCGTCTAGTTTGGATTGCAAAGGTGCTTATTTGAATTCTATTTTTAAAAGTTTTTTTTTTTTTTAATATTTACTTATGTCTTATAAAACATAAGGTACTTGTTGAAATCGAAGATAATCCTCAATTCTTGGAAACAATATGTTGGACTGATGAAGCTAAATTTCACAACAATGGCAATGTAAATAGTCAGAATTTGCGTTATTGGTCAAATGGTAATCCTCACTGGCACACTGAGAAGAATTTTCAAGAACGTTATGGTATAAACGTTTGGTGTGGAATCTTTTATGACAAATTGATTGGTCCATTTTTTTTTTCTGAAAATTTAAATGGTGATAAATATTTAGAATTTTTAAAAACTGAACTCCCCATACTTTTGGAGGACATACCATTATCTAGACGCAAAAATTTAGTTTGGCAGCAGGACGGTGCACCAGCCCATAATAAAAATACTGTCATACAGTATTTAAATTGCACTTTTGGTACTAATTGGATGGGAACGTACAGTCCAAAAATATGTTGGCCACCTCGTAGTCCCGATCTGACTTCGCCGGATTATTTTCTTTGGGGTTATCTTCAAAGTGTAGTTTACAAAGAAATGCCTGCTAATGTAAATGATCTTAAACAAAAAATTAAAGATGCTTGTTCAAATATCCCAAGTCATGTGTTGGTGAAAACTACTACAAATGAATTGCTTAGACGACTGGCAATTTGTTTGGAAGTAGATGGTCATCAATTTGAACATTTATTAAAATAAATTATTAATAAACTTTAATTGAGTACTTACAAGTATTGTGTTTGTGTTTGTCTGTTTTAATTAAATTTACATTTTTACATTTTAATTAAAAATATTATGTTCAATTATACCTGAACAAATAATACATAGAACAATATTAATAGATCATTAGAAATAATAATCTATTGATTACAGTTACACACTGAAAACATTGATAGTGAATAACTTAAGAGTTAATAACCAAGGTATACAATATTGTTCCAGGGTATACAAATTAATTATTTAAATTATGTAAATATTGTTAATGGTATAGCCGGTATTGGTACTATAGGTATGGTTTATAAAAATTATGACTAAGTATTACCTTGAAGATATAATTTACATGTTTTTATTTTATGGATAAGTATTTAGTCTTTTAGAAGCCACTAGTCATTAGGATTAATAAGTTCAAGACATTGAAATAAGTTTAATTAATAATAGGTAGTTTTTATTTCAGTTTATTAAAAATTAAGATTCGATAATGAATTGCTAAGCTTATCCATGTCACTAGGCATAACTGTTGGCCAACAAGATGGCAAAACATATGTTTTTGGTGATGTTTGACGTTTCAAATTTGCTAACCGAAATACAACATTAAAACACTTTCAAAAAATATAATAGGTATGCATTGGAATAATTGGCTTGAACTTTAAATTTATATTTTAAATAATACACATAATTAAGTATTTACTTAAAACGTATTCTGTGGTTTAACGTTCAAAGAATAATAATTAATATTCCATATTTGATAGTGGGAAACTAACATTAACGATTAACCAATAACCACATGCTTTCAGAAACAGTTTACCGGCATTTATTATCGTTTATCTACTAATACGTGATAAGACCGTATACCAGGAATCAGTAACCAATGATATATTATGTAACAATAATGGTAAATTGTAAAATGTTATAGTAGTATAAAAATAGCGGTTCTGATGCCACAACCCACAACCCACAACCACAACCCACAACCCCTCATCCTCATCACTCATCACACCGCGCGCCACCGCCACCGCCGGATCCTGACACCTCATCCTCATCACTCATCACTCATCCCTCACCCCTCATCCTCATCACTCATCACACCGCTCGCGTCGAGCGTTAGTTATATTATTGTTATCACTGTTATCATATTTTATCATATTATTTTCGTTATCACACCGCCGCCGCCACCGGCCGAAAATAAGCTAAAAATTTTTTTCCGGACCGGGATTCGAACCCGAGTCCGTCGGTTTGGCCAGCGATCACCGTACCACTGCGCCACCCTGACACATATACTTTATATTAAGAACTTGCCATATTTAACGGGTACATAAAACTGCAAAAGAAACATTTAATAATAGCTTGCAGCTGCGCGTATTGTCATTAGTAAATCCGTTCGCACGCTCGCCGAACAATCAATAAATGACCTATAGTATATCGAATAGAAGATAGCAATTAATGAAAAATACATTAACCCTAATAGCCTAATTATTGTCATTGCCAGGATGTCTTAATAGCCACCTTAATAATAGATTGCAGCTGCGCGTATTGTCATTAGTAAATCCGTTCGCACGCTCGCCGAACAATCAATAAATGACCTATAGTATATCGAATAGAAGATACCAATTAATGAAAAATACATTAACCCTAATAGCCTACTTATTGTCATTGCCAGGATGTCTTAATAGCCACCTTAATAATAATACAAGTATCTGCCATATCGAAGAAGGGACAATTCACACGGTTATTATACTATGCTGAAACAACTGGCACTTCTCTTTAGTCCGTCTACTGCGTTAAACCAGTGTACACGTATATTTTTCTTGCTCTCTAAGATTTTTTTTAAAACAGTTTATCTAATAGTGTTTAAAAATAATTTTAAACATGGCTGATTCTTTCACCAACAACGATGCCCTATACAAAAAGAAGAATTTTACCTATGTTCCACCAACACCACCTGCGGACCTCATCGACTGCAATAATTTTACACTTGACTTCACCGGCCGTAAGTTTTTGAATGTAGGACTTGATCCTACAGACGAATTCAATATCGTAGTCCAAATAATCACACCATCGCGGTATGTAAATATGCCAGCCGATTTTTTAAGACGTATATTCTCTCTGATGGGAAATATATTGTCATTTATTTTGGATCAACCGCAAAAATATAAGCGAAATTTATTTCTGGAAACCGAAATTATTTCGCTGTCTAGTATGGTGTATGGTGGAGAAAATGTGCTAGTAATAGAGTCAAAAACTCAGGACGGGTGCAGAGTACTGAATCGCGTGGACCTAATACAGTTGCAATATTTGGAGCGGTGTATTTTCGAAACAGTCATTCGAAAGTCAAACATCATACGACCACTTGTCTTAAAACAGTTTGAGATTATGGGTAATTATTTGGACCAGGAATTTACCAAAGTTGATTTACCACCAAAGACACCCGAAGAAATGATCGTTTTTATCAAAAATTTAAGTGACGATAAAATTATTGAATCCAATCCTAAAGAAGACATGAATTTCATCAGTCAACTCAAAATGTATGCTTCATCTCAATTATCCGAACATTGGGCGCAACGTTGGAGTGGAGAACCAGAGGTAAGTCTTTAAAACTTATTCAATCGGAAAAATACAATACATATTTTTATTATTTTATAGTTTTTCACCGAATCTGAAATGAGGCTCATATCACCGCCTCAATACTCAGCCATGTCGCCAATGTATGAAGACTGCTCACAAGCAAGGGTAATTTATAATTTATAAATTTAAAATAAACATAAGTATTAATTATTTTAATTTTTATAGGGAGCTGACGAAGAAAGGGGTATCAATGAATTTTTAATGCAAATCAACCCTACACAGGCGACATGGGCACCAACCAAGACATCGGTAATATACACGTCATATCATTTATAAATATATATTAACAAATTATTATTTGTTTAGCCTACCAGTCCACCATCGTTCGACTGTTTAGACAATTGTGGGCAGTACCCTCCATGGCATGATAAATACATCGAACCTCTACCAACGAGCCCTGCTGTTGACGAAAACAACCACTCTATTCTAGGCGGCAAGCCCGCGAAAAAACGGAACGCAAAACGCAAACTCTTTTTGAAATGATATTGTTTAAATAATTTTGTGTAAAATAAAAACAAGCGTGATATTTAAAACCAAGTTTTTTTATTTATCATAAGGTTACAATATATAATATTTACAAGGTATAAAATATTTACAAGGTATAAAAATATTTATATATTTAAGGTTTACAACTTTCTAACATCTCCGCTAAAGGGATTATAAGTTATAATCTGGTCATGTAGTATTAAACAATAAGCTGCAGTTTTTTCTGGAATAATTGTATCCGTTTCAAATTCAATTCGTAGGTCCACGGTCGATGATTTAACGTTGTCGTCCTGGTGGGACAAATCAACAACGATGATTGGAACATAATTTTGAAAAATATGTTTTGATAATAATGGTTCACAATAATCTCTTTCGTAATACGATTTTTGAAAGTCTGTATAAGCTTTGTAGAGTATGCTGGTGGTATTATTTTTAAAATCAGCGCGAAAGTCTTCATACGGGAACACTTCAGAGTTTAAGTGAACCTTAAGATTTTTTAGTTGACAGTGATCGAATCGACCAGTGTCGTTTTCGATATTTTTTTTTCGATCTGTTTGTAATCCAAACAGCACAAATCTCGGCTTTTCGAGCAAGCTGCTAGACTTTACTGTCCACGAATGAGAAGTATTTCTAGGGAGCACAGGATACTCACAGAGATCCCAGGTTCTGAACGCACGCGATAACGTTTTACGAGAATCTAATACTTTCAATAACTTTAATTTTTCTTTATCACTGACTTTGATAATAGGCATCTTCCAGGTCACCTTAGTCAGTTCAATTGTAATTTTTTTATTTTTATCAACGGCTTTGGTTGCACCCTCGCCAACAACGTGTATCGCATCCAGGTCGGTAGACGCACGATTTAAAATCAGTTGCTGATTACAATTAATTAATATTTTTTTATAGTCTTCACAAAATCAGAATAAATGTTTTAGAGGGATACACCCGGCAAATACATCGTTGCTCATAAAATTTTTATTATCTTCAGTATCCATTGCCGAGTCCCAAGCCGCATTCTCTAACGCATTCAAATCGTTTGGAGTATACGAGCAGTATGCTTTCAAGCAAGAAGACACTCCAGGTGATTTCAATTTTTGTATTTCTACTCCGTTTATTTCATATCGCATCTCGGAGAATAAAAATGCCAATCCGTTATTTGAAAAACGAACATCTCCAACTGCATCGTTAGGTTTATTTATTTTCCCCTCAATGTAAATATAACTCTCACATGGTAAAGTGTAAGAATCCATGTTTTGAATATTAATTCTAATTTCTTCATTGTATGGTAGAGCGGTGCTTGAATACGGTGTGAACGAATGGTAACTCTTTTGAGTTATTTTACAATCGTCGACATAGTCGGCCGTCACGTCTAAATATGAGTCATCCATCATTGTAACGAACGAAGAAAATTTAAATTATTTTTCGTGAGCTTGATATTTTTCGGTTTAGATGTAGACTTCTTAACGGCAGGCGGTATACTGATAGGTTTTTTGACTGTAGCTCTTTTTATATTAAATTTGAGTGCCATATCAACGCGTTATTTGTAAACGAATTGTTATCGGTTCACCACGCAGATTAATCAGACAATCGTTCTGATCTTTTAGCACGATATTTACTTTAGTTATTGAAGTCGTGTTGAGACCGTAAAAAACTGGATGTCTAGGTACCTCAACGATTTTATATCCCGCAGGTACAGTAGGATAAAGCTCGTGTATGATCTGGCTCGAGGCTCCGTCACAGAATGAGCCGGTGATTAAGTTGCACTCTACTTTTATACAGTTTATTTTCATTATGTTGACAATATTTTCAGATTCATGAGTAGCACCAGTAGTGTATAGTACATTTCTAAAACCTAGCAATTTTGCTATGCT